AGTTCCACTTCACAATCACAGTGGAAGGTGAAAGGGACTTCTTACATGGCAATGGCAAGAAAGAATGAGAGCCAAGTGAAAGGGGTTTCCCTTTATGAAGCCATGAGATCTTGTGAGACTTATTCACTACCATGAGAACAGTGTGGGGAAAACTGCTCCCATGATTCCATGGTTCAATTAACTCTGACTGGGTCCCTCCCACAACACGTGGGAATTATGGGAGCTACAATTCAAGATGATATTTGAGTGGGGACACAGCCAAATCATATAATTCCACCCCCAGCCACTCCCAAATCTCATGTCCTCACATTTCAAAACCAATCATGCCTTCCCAACAGTTCCCCAAAGTCTTAACTCATTTCAGCATTAACTCAAAAGTCTATGGTCCAAAGTCTTGTTTGAGACAAGGAAAGTCCCTTCCACCTATAAGCCTGTAAAATTAAAAGCAAGTTAGTTACTTCCTAGATGCAATGAGGGTATAGGCATTGGGAAAATATAGCCATTCCAAATCGGAGAAATTGGCCAAAACAAAGGGGCTACAGAGCCCATGCAAGTCTGAAATCCAGCAGGACAGACAGATCTTAAAGCTCCAAAATGATCTCCTTTGACTCCGTGTCTCACATGTAGATCACATTGATGTAAGAAGTGGGTTCCCATGGTCTTGGGCACATCTGCCCCTGTGGCTTTGCAGGGTACAGCCTTCCTCCTGGCTGCTTTCATGGGGTGGCATTCAGTGTCTACAGCTTATCCAGGCACGTGGTGCAAGCTGTCAGGAGATCTACCATTCTGGGGTCTGGAGGATGGTGGCCCTCTTCTCACAGCTCCACTAGGCAGTGCCCCAGTGGGGACTGTGTGGGGGCTTCAATCCCACATTTCCCTTTTGTACTGTCCTAGCAGAGGTCCTCCATGAGGGCCCCACCCCTGCAGCAAACCTCTGCCTGGACATTCAGGCATTTCCATACATCCTTTGAAATCTAGGCAGAAGTTCCCAAACCTCAATTCTCAATTTCTGTGCACCTGCAGGCTCAACACCATATGGAAACTGCCAAGGCCTGGGGCTTGCACCCTCTGAAATCATGGCTCGAGTTGTACCTTGGCCCCTTTTAGCCATAGCTACAGTGGCTGGGATGCAGGGCACAAAGTACCTAGGCTGCACATAGCAGGGGGGCCTGGCCCTGGCCCAGGAAACCATATTTTCCTCCTAGGCCTCCAGGCCTGTGATGGGAGGGCCTGCCACAAAGGTCTCTGACATGCCCTGGAGATATTTTCCCTATTGTCTTGGTGATTAACATTTGTCTCCTCATTACTTATGCAAATTTCTGCAGCTGGCTTGAATTTCTTCTCAGAAAATGGGTTTTTCTTTTCTATTGCATTGTCAGGCTGCAAATTTTCTGAACTTTTATGCTCTGTTTCCCTTTTAAAACTGATGCTTTTAACAGTACCCAGGTAACCTCTGGAATGCTTTGCTGCTTCGAAATTTCTTTCACCAGATATCCTAAATCATCTCCCTCAAGTTCAAAGTTCCACAAATCTCTAGGGCAGAGGCAAAATGCTACCAGTCTCTTTGCTAAAATGTACCAAAGTCACCTTTACTGCAATTCCCAACAAGTTCCTCATCTCTGTCTGTAGGTGGGCATCAGCTGAGTTCAGCCTGGTTTTGCTTTCTGCTGTGACAGGGCAGCAGATACAATGGAAAGTTTCACAATCACTGCTCTCTCTCTCCCAAACACACGGATTCTCTCTCTGTACCACGTGGCTGCTGCTGGGGGATGAGGGAGGGATGGCATTGATGATTCAAGATAGTTTTTCCTACCCTCTTCAGTGCCTCTTTCAGTGATATGAAGTTAAAACCAGATACTTTGAGTGCTCACCACATTGTTAGTTATGAATGTGCTGTTTTTGTGTAGATAATTGTTAAATTTGGTGCTCCTGCTGGGGGACAATTAGTGGAAACTTCTATTTGGCCATGTTGTTCCACCCCTTTCTCAATAATTTTTTTTAAAGTTTCTAGATTAGATTCCTTTTTTATATGATTTACTAAAAAGTTCATAAAAATATTTGCATTAATTCACTTAAAGTTGAGATTTGGATCTGATAATAGCAAACTGATAGCTTTCTTCCAGGTTTTGCTTTTATAGTTCCATTCTGTTGAAATTTATCATCTTTCTTAATGTGTTTTCTACCACCCCAGTTTATTAGTGTTGGTTGTATTACTTCAGTGTAATGCTCCTTTGCTTTTTCTAGCCTGTTAATGGTGATTCTTATTGGACATTCTTTTTTCTGTCCCTTTGTTGTCAATATATTGCTTTAGCCTTAAGTCACAGTGAACCTTGCTGTACCTGACCAAATAGACTAGCTGCGTTTGTTTCTTCTATACTTCTAATCAATTTAGTGTTACTGGAGTATCATAATTCACACTTTGGATGGAAATAATCCGTTGTGTCTCCTCTCATGCTAGGAATATTCTAAAATGCAATGTTTGCATCCCTGTATGGGCAGAATAGTAGGAAGCTCAATATGCTTCTCAACCCCTTCCTACCATGGTCTATACATTTCCTGTTGTTTTCTATATCTAATTAACCAGTCTTTCTTGTACTTATGTCTGTCTCTCTGTGTATCTGAAGCCTGAATTCAGTTACTTACATCTTGAAAGTGGGGACTGCTACAACCAATAGAGATTGGTTGCTTTGAAATGACAGACGCTTAGGCTGTTATTTGCCTAGACTAGGAAGTTGTTGTTGCAACTTTCATGAGGAAAGTCTGGAACTAGCTACTAGCTGAAACTGCTGATGCTGAGAGAATACATTAGATGTATGACTGGAGTTAAAACGTCCTCTTCTTCTGCTAATAATACTGGTGGTAGGGGAGATTCTTCTTCAGGCTGTATGCTAAGTGTTAATGCTTAGCCAGGAGAGCTTTGTAGTGAAACTGGCCTGTACTCCCAAGTGTATAGCTCTTTATATGGACCTGCATCAAGGAAACATTGTCTGAGTTCAAGCAAGAAAGCCCCATGACAAGCTAAACAAGATTCTCAAAGGTATGACTCTTTATGTTCACTCAGCAGCCACTTTATAGGAAACAATCCCAAGTCTTAGAGGGTTAGGTGAGAATAGAGTTCTTATCAGCCACCTTATGAATTTAGAACCATATTTTCCCCTTGCTGACTCAGTACAGTGACTAGGCCTCTCATTTCATCTTTTTTTTTTTTTTTAACCCTATCCCTCTCTGATAGATTATGCTAACTTTGAATCTCAAGAATAATAGTTGGAAACTCGTTCTCTTCTTTTTCCTGGGCTTTTTGTATAAATGGTCCACCCTTTCCCCAGATTTCTGCATTCCATGTGGTATTGGATGTATAGAAGCTGATGAAAGAAAAATGTTTCTGTTATTCAATCCCTATGGTGACTGCAAATGATTTTCCATTGTATCTCACATTTGCTTAAGGTGGCTTGCTGTTTCTACCTGTAAAATTAAAAAAGAGCTTTTAACTTTTAAATGGGAATTTTGTTCACTTAAAAATTTCTTTCACAAGATAGGGACACGTATCTTGCTGTACTATTTACACATCTTCTTTAAAAGAATCATCTTTTAAATAATCACTTTAAGAATCATCAAGTTCAGACATCAGTTTGACCATCACTTGTTTGTTTAGAAAGCCATAATGATTTCCAGTGACTACTTGAAGTTTATATCTGGTAATGGCTTTAATGCCCTCTACTGCCCAGTTTCCTACTTTACCTATCCTAATGAATTAGAGAAAACCTATTTGAGTTTAATTTGTTCTAGAGTTTTTGTGTGTATATGTGTGTATGTGTATATATTGTGTATGTTTGTATATTATAAAACTTACTGAGAGAGGGATGGAATATACAAACATGATATACACAAACAATATTCTCACACAATATACACACATACACACACAACATCTGTTTTTTTATACACTCTCTCTATCTCTCTCTGTTTTTTCATCATTTCCTTCAAGTGATTTAAGGTGCCACCTCTACTTTGAAATTTTCTGATTAAACCAGATGAATTCCAGTTAGCTAGCCTTCTTAAGAGTTCAGTATATTTGTAAGTAATTTCCTTTAAGAATGCTTTAATTGCAGTAAAAATTTATCAGTTTAAATTTTATGGAGAAAATACTGACCAAATTTATGACATGTAAATTCCAAGTTATTATAAGAAGAGATGTAGAATAGTTATTCCTAAGTAATAATATGTATATTTAGAAAGATTAACTAAGGTGAATTTACCAAAGACTGAGCCATGTATTGCCACAAAATTATCCAAGTTTATCATTTTGGATTGAAAATTTTCTGCTTCTATTTCTGCTACTGAGAAGCAGAGTACAAAGAATTTTAAATTGTTGAATTAAATGGAGAAATTAGGTAATATTTTGTTCCTATGTATTTTAGTTGTACTATCAGTGCAATTAAATTGGTGCTTCCTTAGGTTCAGAGACTATAGTAGAATAATATATATGTGTATGTGTATCTATCTATCTATCATATTTTTTGAGATGGTCTTGCTCTGTTGCCCAAGTTGGAGCACAGTGGTACTATCATAGCTCACCTCACCCTCCGTCTTCTGGGCTCAAGCAATTCTCCCACCTCAGCCTCCCCAGTAGCTAGGAATAGAGGCTCACACCACTATGCCCAGCTAATTTTTTAGTTTTTTGTGGAGACAGGGGTCTTGCTTTGTTGCCCAAGCTGTTTTCAAATCCCTGGCCTCAAGTGATTCTCCCGCCTTGGTCTCTCAAAGTGTTTGAATTACAGGTGTGAGCTACTGTGTGTGGCCTAGAAAAATATATTTTTGACTTTGATTTTGATACTTACTGGTTTTTTTATTAAAGATTCTAGATATGCTTTTAGTATGTAACATTGCAGAAGTGATTTATATTTTTGTTAATTTAGTGTTAGAACTAAAATTCATCTTATTAGTGGTGTTTTATTTTTGACTTACTTTTAATACTTATTAGCATACTCCTTTATTTTTAGCATTGCCTGGTGTCATTAAAGCCATTGATAAAATTAAAGATAAAAATGTGGATTATGAGGATCTAAATACTTGTCTTCAAAATTTTGGTATTTACCTTTCTAAGCCAGAATTTAAGAAGATCACAGAATTGACTGAAGCTGGTGGTGAGTGATATATTTTCGGGCAAACTGCATTGACACATCTGGAAGGAGGGTCAATTTGTTATTTTTTGCCTTAGAAAAATGACTAATATTTTTATTATAAAAAGTTAAATTTAAACTGATCCAGAAAGTATGGAAATACTCAAAAGTACAACAGAACACTCAAAAGCCCATTATTTAGAATTAACCAGTATTAATAGTCTTTTTAATTAAAAAAATTTCTATTTATTTTTTAAATAGTCTTTTTTAGATTTTTTCCTAGGCAAAAATGTAAACAAAAAGAAAGCAGAATTTGTAGTATTGCTGTCTGACAAGGTAGAAGTCAGGACGAAAGGCATTAAATGGGGGCAAATAAGGATTCATTATTATGTCAAAGCCTACAATTCATAATAAAGGTATACCAGTTTTGAGTATCTGTGCCCATATAACCTAGCAGCAGCTCTTCTAAAGGGAATGGCTGAGAGTGACTTGACAGGAAACTGGGGTGATAGGTGAAATAATATTGTCTATGAGTTGATCATTGTTGATGCTAGAGATCGTATATGAACATATTACACTATTATTTCTATTTTGTATATATTTAACATTTTCCATAATAAAAAGTAAAAAATGGAATATGTCTAAGTTGTATGACACCTATATAGAGTAAATAAGACTTTGTGAAGACATTAAAATCTAGATAAATAAGAATGTATCCCATGTCTGTAGATTCAGAGACCCAAAACTGTCAATTCTCTAATTAACCTATTTGTTCAAAGCAATTCTAATAAAACCCTGACTTTTTTGTAAGCTAATTCTAATATTTATATGAATGATTAAAGGCTAAGAATAGCTAAAGCACTCTTGAAGAAGAACATTTGTGGAGATGTGTGTGTGTTGGGGAGTGGGGGTTGGGAGGAACTTGCTCTCCTGGATATCAACACTCCTTGTAAAGCCATAGTCACTAAAAGAGTGTAAGAATGGCACAGGGATAGAGAAATTTACCAATAGGACAAGATAAGGAACTTCCAAACATATCCACAAACATACATGGCAACACATATGATAAAGTGGTGGATAACTGGGGAAAGAGGGACTATTTAATAAATGGTACTGAAATAATTACTTATTCAAATGGAAAGAATAGAGTTATATCCCTGTCTCACACCATATTCAATAATATCCAGGTGTGAAAACTAAGTTTTGGAAAACAAATAGAAGAAAAATTTTCTGACATAGGATTTTTTAAGATGCGAAATAAGAAACTAGAAAAGATTGATAAATTTGAATACATTAAGAACTTCTCTTTGTTAAAGGATACAACAAAGAGAGTGAAATACAAGGCACAAGCTGGTTATTTGCAACACTCACAACAGTGATGATTATCATAGAGAATATATAGGCAACTTTTACAAACTAACAACTCAATAGAAATTATAAAAATTTTCCACATGAAGGCACAAGTTGCTAATAATCACATGAAAAGGTTCTCAACATCCTTAGTAATTAGGGAAGTGCAAAGTTTAGGTCATAATGAGGTACTTAAAAAAAAAGAGAGATCTTTTGGCCTCAAACTCCTGGGCTCAAACTCCTACCTCATCTTCCTGAGTAGCTGGGACTATAGGCACAAGCCACCATGCCTGGCTCATGAGATACATTTTTATATCCACTAAAATTGGGAAAAATTAAGAAATATGTTATTCTAAGTACCGGTAAATATGGTGAAAGTGGTAAAACCACTTTGGAAAACAATATGCAGTATCTTGTAAAGTTTGCATACCCCATAGTTTAGAAATACTATTCTTAGCTATAAATCCTGGAACATCTCTTGGACTTAAGTACCAGGAAGCATGTTCAAGAATGTACATGGCAGCACTGATCTTAATGGCAAAAAAAGAGAAAGAAAGCAACATGATATTCATCCACAGAATGTATAAATAAATTGCAGTATACACCATTGTGTATTCATATAGTGGAAACCCCGTCTCTACTAAAAATACAAAAATTAACCGGGCATGGTGACGTGCCTGTAATCCCAGCCGCTTGGGAGGCTGAGGTGGGAGAATTGCTTGAACCTGGGAGGCAGAGGTTGCAGTGAGCTGAGATTGCATGGGCAACAGAGCGAGACTCTGTCTCAAAAATAAATAAATACATAAATAAAAGTTAAAAATATTATGTATGCTTGAGAAGGACTGGAAAAATTTTCACCAGTTTTCTTGGTGTTTTTCAGTGTTTACTTCTCTACTGTAAATTGATTTGCTTTTCCCCTTTATACCATGTATTTTTATTGGTTAGTATTACCTGATGGATATAATTATATATTTCTGAATATATAGCTTATTTTACATAATATTTTTCATAATAATTTAATACTTAAAAGATACTGAAGAAAATGTGTTTCTTTTTCCTGTAGAAACAAAAAAAGTGAATTTTAAAGAATTCATTGATACTATGATGAGCAACACGGAATGCTTCTCTGAAAAATTATGTATGTAAGAATATCACGTCTTCTGCTTTTTGTGGACCAAATGGTTTGACAGATTTTAGAAGAGCGTAAACACTCTATTTTAGTCTCTTATAGAGCTGGTTATCCTGCAGATCATCTGACAAATAAATGCCTGGCTTCCTGCTGCTATATTTGGCTTTAATCTCCTGTAATGACCCCTAATTCTAGAACGTCTTCTACATGCAAGTGAATTAAGAGCTATCATAATTTTATTTTTCATTAGCACACTTATAGAGGGCTAGAACCATGTATAGCATTCCTTTTGGGGATTTAAAATGTCTTTCAACTTAGGAAAAATGATGCCATCTAGTGGCTGAGTACTAATATGAGAATTTCTGGTTACATCTGTTGCCATTTCTGTCTTCCAATTTATTCAGTAACATTTATGAACCTTTAATATGTACTAGGCTTTATGTTAAGCTGTAAGTGTGGTAATATGGAAAAGATAGTTTTGCTGCTCAGAAGCTCACCATAAAGAAATGTAAGGTCACATATGTATATTTTTAATGGAGTGAAATTAGTATGCATTCTAAAAATTGGGACTGAAAGTAACATTGTGTTATTTTGTTCTTACATGTTAGGTAACAGTAGATTTTAAGTAGCAACTCTTTTTACCTTACAATATAAGATTTAATTTGTCTCCTATACAGGGGTACATCATACAGAGGAAGAGATAGTTTGTCAGTTACTTCATTTTTCCTAGGAATTTCAGTTTTATGGAGATTAAAATTTTATTAGCACAGAGTTATATAGTATATTACCTAATCTATCTCTGTCATTGTATTTTACATCTCATCGTTAATATTGCATGTTTGTGTTTACTTCTTTTTCTTTTTTCTTCATTAGACTGCTCAGAGCATGTCTTCTTTATTGGTTCCATATACCTCATTGGGACCTTACATCCCTTTACCCCTCCGCTTTCTCCTAATCTATCAGTCTCCTCCTGTTTTCACTTTTCCTCCTTACTTGGTTTAAATTATCTTGTCTATACATACCTAATACCCTAGACTATCTTGCCTCCGTGTACTTTTGTTGCACCTATCTGGCAAAACTCTCAACCCCGAATGAACCCAATTACCTTCCTTCTTGTGTCTGACAGCATTTCTGGAGAAAATCACACAGCTGAGAAGATCGTACAGGTTATAAATAAAATCTTGGTCACTAATGTCTGCTGGCTCTTCCTAACTGTCTAATCTTCCTGAGAATCAGTTCTCTATATAGCAACACAGTGACTTTTTACAAATTTGTAGTAAGATAATTTCACTCCTTTGTTTAAGATGCTTCAATGATTTTGCATTGAAATAGTCTTTCTTTTTATTGTCTACAGTAATAGATTGAAGAGGAAGTAGGAGCCAGAGGAGAATTTTAGGGAGAGATATAGAACAAAAGCTACTTAATTGTATTATCAACTGAAAATGTTTCTGAATTCACACTTTTAAAAATCTAAATTCAATAAAAATTATTATTTATAATGTTTATTCAGGGTTGGGACACTAAGTTCTTAAAATATTTCAAGATCCTCAAAAATACATTATATTTGAGGCTAAATATTTTATTATGTTTTCATATTTGAAAGTTGGCAGTTCATTTATGCTGTATT